AAAAAGAAAACTCTTGTGTTCACATTCATAAATTCTAACATAAAAAGGATACTGCTTCCAATTAGAGATACAAGACGAGACACAGGAAGTGGTCTGTCAAATACGAATCTGGAATCCAAACACTCCTGTCGCATAAAATTACTAAAAAAGAATAAGAAAAATCAGTAATTTAAACTTATACAGAGCTAATCCTATGTAAGCAAAGCAGTCTGATTTCACTTCATTCATTCTAAACACTTTCATAGATTATATCTACATAAGACAGGGAAGAAAAGAAAGACAAGGCTACACATAACATTTTTTATGTATTAAACTCTGGGGCTATGAGGGGTTTGTTTGATTCTTTTGGTTATACTGGGGATTGAAGCCAGAGCCTCTGCATTGAACTACATCGCCACGCCCTTTTTTAAATTTTGAGACAGGATCTCTCACTAAGTTTCTGAATTGCCCAGGCTGGGCTCAAATTTGTGGTTCTATTACTCAGAATACACAGATTACAGGTGTGTAACTACCATTATCCTTAGCACCTCATGAGGCTTTTTGTTGTTGTTTTTTGAGATAGGGTCTATGTAGTTCAGTTGTAGCCAAGCCTGGCCTTTTAATTCACATTGATCCACCTGCTTCAGCCTCCTGAGTTCTGGGATTATTGGTGTACACCACCACACTCAGATTCCCACATGAGGTTTTAAAAATGAATGAACTGACAGGCACAGTGGTGCATGCCTGTAATCTTAGCTACTCAAGAGGCTGAGGCAGGAGAATCATAAATTCAAGTCCAGGCTGGATAACTTAGACTGTATTTCAAAATAAAAAAATTAAAAAAACTATCTCTTAGCTCTATATCTCTGTTTCAGAGCACTTACAGAGAAGGAAAGCTGAGCAAATAAAAAAGAACAATCTCTTTGTATCATTGCCGCTGCTAGCAAGAGTTTGCCTTAATTTTTAGGTTTAAGGGAGAGTTTAAGACCTAAAAGACTTTGCTTTTTGATATCGAAAAGATTAAAATTTCCCCAACACATCAATTACAAAAATAGACAGCAAAGCAGAAGAACTTTTACATGTTCCTGACCATGTTATTGCTCTTCATAAGTAGCATTTTACAGGAGATACCAGACAACAGTTTGCTGTGTTTCACTATTAGACCTAGAAAGACTTGAATAAGGTTAACATTGGAGAAAAGAGAATGCATACCTATTGGAGAATAAACTACAAGAAAAAGATAGCCCTTTTCACACTACCTTGTCCAGTATGTATGTATCATAGCTGATGATCTGCTCTTTTGTGGGTGGTGCTGGGGCTAAACACAGGGCTTTGCACACGCTGGGCATCTACCTATTACACATCTACTACAGAGATACATACCCAGCACCTGATGACCAAATGCTGACTATAGGAACCAAATTATTTGTTCAGCACTTTCAGGTCAAAAGAATATCTAAAACTTCAGTGTCCAATATGGTAGGCACAAATCACATGTGGCTATGGAATCATTAAAGTATCTAAACTGAAATGCATTACAAGCACAAAATATACACCACACTTCAATGAGTTTATACCAAAATCATGTATTATTTCTCCTTAATAAGTTTTTTTTATATTAATTATATGTTGGCATGTCCGTATTTTAGGCAACTGGGTTAAATGTTCGACAATATAACACACTGTACATTTTTAGCAGCAGGCAGAAAGCTGTAATAGTGTCAATATACCATTGATTTAAAAGAGCAAGGGACTGGTCAGATAACTTTAAAATCCTGAACGTCATTAGCATTTGCTCTTACTGTTCATATTCTTTCTTCCCTCATCATATCAAGAACTTAACAAGTTAACTTTGTTAAGCTAACTATCCTAAATACACACTCACACAACCTGAAAGGCAGTGTTTAAGTGCTCTACATGTTAGGCTATTTAACAATAAGCTTCAAAAATAAATACAAATTAAGTGATTAAGTAATTATTCCAATCTCAGATATTAAGTGGTGAAGTGAGAATTCAATCTGTGTGATTTCAAAGATCCACTTCATTTATTTTTTTTTTATTTTTATTTTTTTACTATAACCATCATTTATTTTGCAATAAAACAAGTTTTTAAAAATGCTAATCTATGTTGATAAGTCTATTTCTTATTGGATATGAAAACATGTGATTAGTCATTAATACCTAAATATGAACTATAATAGATACCTAATTGTTGGTACCATAGTGATAGATCCACTTCATTTATTTATTTATTATTATTATTTTTTTTTTGGCGGCTCCACATTGACCTCCAGCAGCGCTGATCTGGGTTGCCTTGAGTATGTGGGAATGGAATCACGGCTCAAAGAGACTGACTGCCTCCTTTAAGCAGGCACTTAAACAACTGAGCTAATGGGCAGCCCCCCCCCACTTCATTTATATATTGTTTCTGAACTAGAAATATTTTTTATCTCCTCTGAACATTTACAGAAATTTGTCTTTCCACTTCCTATCTTGCACTATAGATATGCTAGACTTTAAGTTCCTTGAAGATAAGATCCATGTCTGAATCAATTTTCTGTACTCTACCTTATCCACTATTAAGATTTGCAAAAAATAAATGTCTAATAAACACTGATGTATGAAAGCAGGGTGGTTTGGCTCAATCTTCCACATTAGATGAGTGTCAACATCTTATTTGGCATACATGGCTTCAAAGAAAATACACTGCCTTAGTAAATATCATACTATTCAGTGACTTCCCAAAAGTGTTAATATTAATGTGTTTAATTCTATTATTAGTTACTATCACAAGAACCAAGAAATGGAAATACTAACCCATTAAGGTACTCTCAAACTATTCTGGCAAACAACTTTCTAAAGTATCTGGATCTTATAGAGCAAAATAACCAAATGTGAATGAAAAGGGATATTCTTTTTGTTTTTCAGGAGCATACTTACCATAAGAGTCTGGCATCAGCAGTAAGACCCGCAATAGAGATACCAATATGGTTGTCAACATGGAGAATTTTTTTTTGGTGAGCTGCAAGCTCTGACTGTGCCCTCTAAATAAAAACATTATAGGATATAAGAATAAGTTCCCAATTTTATTGTTTATACAGTGAAATTTACATTTGGTAGTTCTGCTTTCTAAAGGAGGAAGATATATTTATGCTTTTTTTACCTTCAATGCAACCAACACTGCATGGGTTTTGGATTTCAGCCCAACTGTGGCAGAACCTTGTTTAACAGCTTCCATTGCATACTCAATTTGATGAATCCTGCCCTAGAGAGAAATACATAACACATCGGAGTGACCTAGAAGATCTGCTTATAAATTAAAAATCAGATTTTCCAAACTTTGGGTAAATAGAAACTTCAAATGATTATTTTTACAACCAGGAAACTTAACTATAAATTGAAGTTCCAGTTGTGTCCAAAATGATTACATTTTTTTTCCCCGCCTACAATCTCACAAATTCCTAAACCTGTTGCAAAATATTAAAATATAAAAATTACCTGAGGGCTCCAGACGGTGACATCGTTGTCATACTGGTTGCGGAACTGAAAATAAAATTAAAAAAAAAAAAAAAAAAAGACTTCTTAAGAAGAACATTACAAGTCCCAACTCTTACTATTAAGAAATATGCTTGCATGTATCCATTCAAAATTAAAGCAATTTTGTTGACACAGTGTCACTGGAACAGTGTTACTACACTCAAGACTTCAAGTGAATTCTACATTTACCCAGCTGGTGGGGAGGCAGCAGCTGATCAGATGCATCCTATCTTTCCATCTTCTTACCCTGCCACTCTCTATTGCATTCCTTTTGAACAGATAATCGCTAACGTTCACGTGCATTAATTTTTCTTATTTCTGCTTTTGCTGCTCTCTTAACACTAATACGTGGTTAAAGACCTTTCTTTCCTTTTCTCTAAATTAGTTCAGATCTCTTGACGACTTCTCTGTCTTCCTCTCAAAATTCCACCATGTACTCCCACAGTTCTTACACATGTTCCTATTCTCACACTACGATTACTGCCATGTCTGATGTAGCTTGTAACTCAAACTGTTCTTGTGCCTTGTGAAAGCGCTTTGTACCAATAAACATACCGAATGAACAAACCAAAAAAAGTCCTCTGGAATTTAAAAGAGGATACCAATAGCAACAGCGACAACACCAGTGATAGCATAATGGCATTATTACAGCAATTCAATCAGCACGGGGTGAGACGGTCGAATCCGGGGTGTCAGACTCAACGGGAGCCGCGAGCCCCAGACGACTGGGAAAAGCGACAGAAAGAAGCTTTTTCATACGGAACTTTAGGATACAGATAAATAAGGAGGGCACACTAGCTAGGTACATGGATGTGATCCAAGAACACATATCGTAGGCAGATCCGCACCCACAATACTGGGAGGCCTCCGAGTTAGGTCTCTCAGCTCTCTTCTGTCCCAAAGATAGCATGAAGAGCCCCTCAAGAATGCTTGGGGTGTACTCCAAACTGATTAAATGACCGAGGAACGTGCGCCAGAGGCCCCGGGAAAAGCGAAACCGTGCGCAGAGGCCGCACCGACTACCACTCCTCCCGCCAGGCCGGAGATGCTGAATCACGGCCTGAGCCTGCCGTTAAGCTGAGGTTCCCACGTCTGGTGGCCCTGGACCAACCTAAGGATAAGAAGAGAGGCAGGACACCAACCCCCAGCCCCGGTACCTTGGCCCCAAACCTTCTGAGGATCAGGATTCAACCCACCATAGCTGGGAAGCGGACCAAACTAAGAGCCTCCTGCAAAGCGGCGGACTGAGGAGCGCTGCCGAAACTTCCGCTCGGCGATCGACAGAGAGGTCTGTGGGATTTTGACGGCGGCGGCGCAGGGCAGGGCAGTTCATTCCAGAGATATCGATAAGCTCTGTGGGTTTGCAGACTCTCAAAACTCCCGGCGCGCCTCGCGGGTGTGGGCGTGGCCTTTGGAAGGTACAAAAACGGAGATTGGCGGGAAAAACTGAGTTTGAAGCGGTTGCGCAGGATTGCTGCGTGTCTTCTCGTATTACCCTTCTTGTATCCTCAGCGAGATTTCCTGAATATTACAGATTCGCGCCAGTTTCTCATCCCTGCGCATAGATCGCCTGGAGACCCCCGCTGCGACACCAGGTGCCCTGAATGTACCTCTCTACTGTCCACAGAGATTTGGAGAATTGTGTGACTGAGAAGTGGGTTTACAGAAAAGCCAACGAAACACCGGGCCGCGTGTGTGTGTGTGTGTCAGCTGTACTCTGTCTTGGGTACGCTGTTTGTGTACGTGTGTTTCTTTCAGTTTTGGAATCCTCTTTCTTACTGCCTGGATATCTTTTTAAAGATTCTGTTGCCAGTGATCATTCATTTTTATTACAGTCATTGATTTCTTCCCCCAGACTTTGAACTTCATGAGGGTACTAGTGAGTTTTTTATTTTATTTATGGATTTGTTTTTTTGGCGGATCCGGGGATTGAACTCAGGCCCTTGAGCTTGCCAGGGAAGCGCTTATTCTACTGAGCCATCTCCCTGGCACAACTAATGACTTTGTGCTCTCAGATCCGAGCACAATACCTGAGGGAAAAAAAGATACTTTCTAACGAATTACGTTTTCTTTTATATATATAT